AATAAACTAACTGACTTCCGGTTATCTTATGTTTATGTAGAACTATAGCCTTTACGACTATCATAAATCGATGTGTGATATAAGCGTTACACTGTCGTAAATCTTTGAAGAGGAAAAGAACTTCCGACTATTTTACGTTTATGTTGAAGTACCGCATTTACGACTATCATAAATCTATGCATTATATAAACGTTACGACTGTCGTAAATCTTCGATAAGGAAAAGATCTTACGACTATCTTACGTTTATGTTGAAGTACAGCATTTACGACTGTCGTAATGCTATGTATGACATAAGCGTTTCGACTACCGTAAATCTTGCAGTTGTTGCAGTTTACGGCCATTGTTTGTGTGACAGAAGCAGCGTAAATTCCATTGTTTGTGTCGTGTTCAAACCACTCTCATTTGTCGGACTCGCCAAAACACAACCATGTCTTACGTACATCTGAGACCCCACGGGAGACCACGTGATGCCCATTCGGGAGGCTGATCATACATCAGGTGTAATGGCATTCTCCTCAAATTCAACAAAATCAATTTAGCCGTAGATAGGCGTGGGTGACGTGCCATGATATATGACCCAATTATTTAGCTTGGAATTAAAACTGAAATATTGATTGAAACATCGCATACAGCAGATATTGCATTGGCTTAAAATATGATATGCGGCATTCCGGGCAACGTAATTTAGATATTTATAGCCATGAACGATGGTAAAGTGATCTGGTGTAATGATGCGGGGTTGGGTGTAGGGATACTCAGTGTCTGGTCTCTGTTACGCTGTGAGTGAGTGAGTTGGCTTGAACGTCGCTTTGAACAGTATATCAAATTCATCACGGCGTGGCAGCTTGATGTGGGGAAAACCCTAAGTGATTCAGGTCTTATACGTTTACCACTTTCGTGAAACTCACAAGCATGAATGGTGCTGACAGACCCCGATTATGAGTCTTGGTTTGTGTACATGCGTTCGTTGATTTCCTCAAAACGGATCACTTCTGTACTTTCCTGTACATTAAGCTGACCAGCTGCCATCAGTATTGATATTCTGTCATGGACAATGCATTTATTTAATGACATGTTGAAACGTACTGAGCCTTATAACTTCGAGTGAGTGAGTGAGTGCGAGCGTGCGTGCGTGAATGAGTGAGTGAGTGAATATGGTTTTACAACGCTTTTAGCAATATTCCAGCAATATCACGGCGATGGACGTATAACTACGAAGGCTGTATAGTACTCCCATACAACTAAAACACAATTCTTGTAGACATCCTCGGAACCCATGTTTATATGTTCCACGTGTTTTCACACACATCCCTTGGAGACATCCTCGGCACCCAGGTCAATTTAGTCCACGTTTCCGAACACATAAGCCTTGCCGGACACCACAAATCACAAGAAGATACATGCCGTATGGACAGACACGAACGTAAGTATTTTGTCTATGTTCAGTTGTGAGGAGGCTCGGTTGGCCTCAATTCACTGTGAAGTAACTGGTATGGTGTAGAAATTTCAATTACAATGCAGGTCAATCGAGGAATAATATTTTCGAGAAGAAAACTTAAATTTATATGAAGAAAATTCTGACTTTTGAAATATAACGATTTGGAACCATGTATCAGGAGCTCACATAATTCTCTTGTACTGGGATTCAAATATGGTTTGTTACCGTGTTATTTTTATTTCACAACCATCACCCTCATCCTTGGGGGCGATGGGGTAGCCTAGTGGTGAACGCGTTCGCTCGTCACACCGGGCTCGATTCCCCACATGGGTACAATGTGTGAAGGCCATATCTGGTGTCCTCAGCCCTTATATTGCTGGAATATTGCTAACATTGCGTAAAACCACACTCACTCACTCAACCTAGACCGGGGTATATATGGTTTATGAAAATACACGAGTGTTCCGTCAAAACAATGGCAGTAGAATATATGCATTTTATGAAACCAATACCAATCTAGATTATAAAAAAAACACTTCTTGTCAGTTTTATTCCACATATCAGCACCAGGGAAAAAATAGAGGAGAAAATTATACTGTGTAATAAACGACATGATAGACTATATGTTAGTCTATGTCGAAATACTGCGCGTTGACATTTGGCGAACAGCCTTGGCAGCAATATTTCAGCAATGTAGATTACCGATGCCAGTTGAAAAATGAGGTCATACCCTGTCATGGTGTCTTTCCCGTCTAGCTTGCCAGAAAACCAAACGTGCAAAATACCGAGCACGAGTCGACATCATAACCACAACGTAATTAGCCAGAGGAGTACAGCAAGGATGAATGTTCTGTCATTATCCCCCTCTGTGTTTATGGTAAAGGATCTAGGCTGATCTGCTCCGTCGCTACTATACACACATCAACAGACACTACCAGCAACATGAAACACCGTCGTAGATTGTTAAAACACATTCTCATTCCATTTCTAAATCTTTAAACGCTGTTTATGCTTGTTTGGAGGTATAAACAAGCCGCGAATGTTTTTGCCATACATTTATGTCTTTATAGGTCGTATAAATAATGCCTTATCTCTTCACGGGATCAATGAGATCTTTTTCTTCTATCGAGAGAGGAAATTGTCTCTTCGTGAGACATGTGCAAACACATCCTGCTCTACTCTCCTGAGAGAGAGAGAGAGAGAGAGAGAAAGGGGGAGGGAGAGAGAGAGAGAGAGAGAGAGAGAGAGAGAGAAAGCGAGAGAGGTGGAGGGAGAGAGAGAGTGAGGGGGATGGAGAGAGACCCACAGAGAGAGACGACAAAGAGAAAGAGAAAGTGAGAGAGTGAGAGTGAGTGCCAGCGAATGAGTGAGAGGGAGAGTGATTGAGAGACAGTGTGTGAGTAAGTGAGTGAAAGGGAGAGGGTGCGAGTGAGAGACAGAGATTGAGTAATTGTGTGAGAGAGAAGAGATAGAGAGCAATAGAGGGGGTGGAGAGAGACAGAGAGAGGGGGAGAGAAGGGAGACAAACTGAGAGAGAGTGGGAGAGATCGACAGAGCGAGAGAGACAAAGTGAGAGAGTGAGAGTGAGTGCGAGAGAATGAGTGAGAGGGAGAGTGATTGAGAAATTTGATTCCGTTTTACCAGTATTTCGTTTATAAGAGGGCGTGTCGGCTTAATAGAAGGAGAAGTGAAATCTTGAAGTTTGGCGAACCTTGGTTTCACCAAAGATTTACCCCATTCTAACAGCACATTTCGGCACCTTAACAGACCGCTGGGTCAAGATAAAGGGTGAAGGATAATATAGAATGTCATCGCCAGAGAAAAGCTAGTCTCCGAAACAGATTCCATTGGGCTTAAAAGGCAAAATAGCTGTGAAGATTATATGAACGGATCCTGAAAATCATTGATGATATCAGGTCCTCGCGAAAATCGTGAGCAAGTCCTGCCATATCGGTGTCACTCGTCATTCACACAATGTGTGACAATCACACACATTCAGACAATCAAGTGATCGACTGACAATAAAATCGAGTGAGTGAGTGAGTGAGTGAGTTGAGTACTCCAGTTATGTCACGACGTGTCAGCTTAATGTCGGAGGAAAGCTAGAACGGATGCAGGTCTCAGACGTTTTCCACTTTGGTCAGACCAACGAGCATGGGCATGGTGCTGACAAACCTAGAACCATAATCGGGGCGAACCGGGACTCGCACCAACGATCTAAAATCCAGTGAGACTATAGCGTATTTACTGATAACTAAAAAGGTAAATGTTAATTTTACGTCTTCTGTGTACATCTGCATACGGCGAACTGCGGCAGCTTTCTTAACTATGTGTGAAACCTTTCTGATGGTTTTTCCCAGCAATAATTCCAACTTTGACCTAGGACGTTTACCTAGACGTTCAACATGATGTACAGTCACGCACAATTTAAATTCAACATGAGAGTTCTGATATTTCGTTGACCTCCGATAACTACATAAATCGGTTGTTTTGAAAGCTCCTCGATGCCATCACAGTGATGACGCATAGGTCATGGACGTCACACGGGACGGTCACACCAACCGCTATGACGCCTGCAATGTCGAGGTGATGTGTGAATGTTTCAGCTTGGACAACAAATATACCACGGGAAATGTACGATGAGAAAAAGTTCAGGCTGGGCGGAAATATTTTATTTCGTGTGATGGGTGAGATTCAAACAGTATTTCATTTACATCAAGGTGCGTCGGTTTTGTGTGGGTGGTGAGCCCAAAGCGTGGGACTCCTTACTAGAACCGTTAAACCTGCGAGCACAGGTATAGTGCTTAAAAACAAGACTCATAACCGAGGTGAATCGGGGATTGGAACAATTATAAACGGATCCTGTCACGACAAAGGGACACAAATCTTTACATCTAAATAAGGCCCGCAGAGCCTCATTACGAATTGATAATAAAAACACCTCAGTAAGTAAGTAAGTAAGTAAATAAGTAAGTAAGTATATGTTTATAAGACATGTTTTTAAGTGTAGTTGAACCGGTATGATTTCTTTCAGCATAATTATATATTCTCTTTGAATATATGAGACTCGTGTATTCATATTTTTGGGTTTATTGTATACATCCTAATCATATTTACAAATGTAGAAATCCAAATATGTGTCCATAATTGTAAATAGGTTTGTAAACTGCCTGGTAATATGGAACGTATACACCCAAGTTTGGCAAGTAGTGACTATTCAATGGTGAAATATTTGATATGGGTATTTGATATGGTTGTTTTCTGTACTTTAAGTTTTCCGCCTACTATCGTTTTGATAACGTTTGTAATTGTTTGGTCAAATGCAATTTTCAATTGTATACTTTCTCTTTCCCGACAGTTTATATTCAATTTGAGAGTAGAGTTATTGTCATGTGGTCGTTATTAAAATCATATCATCATTTCAATAGTATCGCAATTATTCAAACTTCCTTATAATCCAGTAATTTTTAAAAGTAGAAACTAATAACCGAAATACACACATTTTGTTAGATATCCTTATGGAAGCTAAATCCTACTACAAGTACATGAAGAATGGCGTGTTATTGTCCGTTTATGCAAACCAGTTCCTTTGTCCGCTTCTTGAGGTATGTCCTGAAACCACTGCTACAGATGCTGTAGACGACGGGGTTTAAGGCGCTGCTGAGGAAGTAGGAGCGGACGGCGAGGGTGTAAAATACAAGCGGGGCACCATTCAAGCCCTTGAACAACGTACGGTCGACAGCAGATGCTGTGGTGATTGTTATATAAGGAAGGAAGCTAACTATGAACAGCATCGTGACAAGGAACATCATTAACGTGGTTCTATCTACAGAGGAAGAAGACGTTTGTGTAGGATGGTGTAGTCGTCGATCTGGTCCCTGTGTTGAGCATGACGTCGGAGCTGTGGTAGTTTCTGGTTGCAACGTTGTTCCGTTATTTCCTCCCATGCTGACGTCTGAAGTTCTGACTTCCTCTGACTGATTTACTCTTTCAGTAGTGTCTCGTGATAGGCCATGCGTTCCCCGAGAAGCCTGCCACGCGTTCTGTACGCGAAGACGTTTCCAGATGAGTATATACATTACGATGACAACCACACATGCGCAAAAGAACAGGATGAAAAGGCTACCATTGAACGCTTTTGGAAAGTTTGTGTCTCTGAACTCATTTATGATTCCACAATCGGACCCATTGAGACCGCTGATCTTCACATCCCTTTCCCCGTTCAGAACACCAGCAGGTATGGCGAAACAGGCAGCTGAAACAAAACAAATCAAGATGGCCACTATGGCTGTTTGGGGTGCTGTTTGCTTCCTGAACGGCTTGCATATTTTCTGATACCGTTCAATGGCGATTGCCACTAGTATGCTGCACGATGCTATACAGGAAAACGCTATCACAAATCGGGTAGCTGGGCACACAAAGGAACTGCCGAAAGTGTACTTATATCTTATGTCTGCGATATCTGCGGGGATGTTGAGGACACAGTTGATAAGATCCACCGCAGTAAGCGCCAAAATGAACCTCCTAGTCACCGATGCATTCCTACCACAGTACACGAACAACACGAGGACATTGCCACAAATCCCTATCACCATGATCAGGCAGAGAAACAATATGACGGGCAATACCTTGATAGCGAATTCATCGTTCAAGTCATCAATGGAAACAGGAGGAGCTGAACTGTTATCAGCGATCGGCATTGTCCAATAGAATCTTTCTGGATAATTCTTTCCGATCTTTGTTGTAAGCGTCAGTCCTTTGATGCAGAGAGGGAAGAGAGTAACTACATACTACAACATTCCAGTAAGGATGATGAAAATGACGTTGGGCTATACTTTTAACATGTGACTTCACACTTCGTCTGCAGTCTTCTGAAGTTTCTGTGACTACCTGCAGGAACACAATACTAGTATTTACATCATATCCGTATCTGTCCTCAGTGGGGTCTCATTTGCGGAGTCGTGATTCTTCCCACTGCACAGGAATGACTTGCGAACTTAAGTTAATCAAATTATTGATAATATTTCAAAATATTTTCCTCATCAATTTGTTTTCGGAAGTATATTATGAGATAACAACTGAATTCAACTTAACAGGTAAACATAACACTATCATGGTAATAGCAAATTGAAGTTCATTCATATGGACGTAATAGGATCATAACGCAATACAAACAACACTATACGTCACGCACAAGGAACATGAATCGTGCATATTTACACATTTCATACTAATACATTTCCTTATGCTCTTTTCATGCATGTGTCCTCATTACATATTAATATATTTAAGTGCATACATTCATAAAAGATTATCGTGACTATGAAGTATTTGAATACATAAAATCTCGATACACAAATACTGAAATGCAGAGATACTACTGCACAAATATTCAACATACATTCCGAAGGTCCGGAAGCAAATTCAAATACGCCCTGCCAAATGCATTGCAAATAAACGCGGCGGCAGGATTGTGTTAAGAATCGAGTAAATGACGCATAAATGTATCTATCGTTTTTCATTTTATATGCTTCAAGGGGTGATACTAACAGACCTGGCTCTTACTGAAAGCTTATTTTGTCAATCAGTTCATTTCTTTTTCTCACAAATGTTGGCTTCCCTTTAAGTAACTTGTCTCCTATATTTGTGTCTATGTTTTGTTTGTGTGTTTGTTTTTTGTTGTTTAACGTCGCACTCGGCAATATTCCAGCTATACGATAGCGGTCTGTAAATAATCGAGTCTGGATCTGACAATCCAGTGATTGACATCATTAGCACCAATTGGTATACGATAACATGCATTAATCAAGTCAGCGAGCCTGACCACCCGATCCCGTTAGTCGCATCTTGCAACAAGCAAAGTCGCACTTCAGCATGGTTGCTGAAGACCTATTTTAACCCGGACCTTCACGGGTAGTGTCTATATTATTTACGTACGTAGTTGGTAATTAATTAAATCTTCCTTCATGGTATGACCGCCTCCGTGATCTTGTGAATAGAGTGTCTGCCCTGAGAGCGGAAGATCGGTGGTGCGATCCCCAGCCGCTTCATGCCACAATGCGTCAACAAGTGGTATTTGTTGTTACCCTGCCTGGCGCTCGGGGATTAAACGGGGTTTTGGTCGTTTACTGTGCCAGAGTTGGGTATTCATGTTTAACTGCGGCATGGTATCTCAGTGGGCTCGCAGTATAAAACCGGCATTAGTCTGTACAAACAGCCACACACTCATAAGTGCAATAGGTTTGAACGCGACGCTAAACTTCATTTCATCTCACCTCACGTCCTTCGTGTTGGAGACTCTCACATCACTCATTTCACTAGTTTCTTGAATTAAATAATTAAATAACAACATATCAATCATTAATGTAAGTAATGGTGTTTGAATAAAACCACAATTTAAATGCTTAAATTAGTGAATGAGTGAGTTTGGTTTAACGCCGCTTTTAGCAGTATTCCAGTTATATCACGGCGTGTCAGCTTAATGTGGGAGGGAAGCCCAAAGGGATGCAGGTCTCAGACGTTTACCACGTCGGTGAAACCCACCAGCACGGGTATGTTGCTGACAAACCTAGAAACATAATCGGGGCGAACCGGGAATCGAACCCACAATCATAGGTTTCTGGCGTGCCTATGGGACGCAACTCTCCACAGCGAATCGTGGCGCCTTAGTCGACTGGGCCACCCGTGCCCCCTAAATGCTTAAAAGAAAGAACAGCATTTTTCGCTTAGAAACCCCTATTATTATTCTTTATTTGTTAATAAGTGTTTGGACACCAAGTTACTTACATAACATGTGTTGTGATCCAGCAGAATGTTGGGTATCTATAAACTCACAGGAGACATTGTATTATTGACCTTTTTCATACTTTGGCCATCTTGGATCGAAAACGAGGCTTGGAGAGCATAGCTCCATGCAGTGTGAGTCAGCTGACAGGGAACAGAGATCATGTGCATTTCACTGATGGACACTTCCAACAAAAATGGTATCCTCTGTATATTGCACATTTAATCCTGAGGTTTAACTAAAATATCATGTAATACACTGGAATTCGCATTTTGCTGTCAGGATCCCGGAAGTGAATCGAAAGGTGCATTTCGAGATACGTATTTCTGAAGTAGATTGTTTTATCATAACCTCGACGGCATTTGGGTACAATGTGATAGTATATTCAATGCCAGAAGTATCGTATCGTAAATGAACTGCATAACATGAAACACGTCATATCATTTGATATGAGTACAGATGAAATAACAAAAGATGCAAAGGAATCAACTTCAATTGGTCATCAAGCCAAGATAAAATAAATGTACCGGTACAAATTATGTTGATGGAACAATGTGGATTTCTCATATTTAACAAAGAAAAACAAACCGAAATGTTCATTTCTTTATTTCACACAATATAAGCTTGGTTTTCTTCCTCTTCAGTTATTCAGGCTTGTCAACTCCTAACATGGACCGGGTGTCTTTGTCAGTCAAAAGCACCTAATTAAATTCCATGACGAAAATAATTTTCTTACCTGTAAACAAATGGTGCAATGTGTTTTTTAGAGTCTGATAGATATTGGCCATGTTGTTGAGTGAGTAAATATGACTTTTCACTTCCTCGTCCTATTTAAGTGAAATGTGACAGGAAGCACGTTTGTTGAGTAAGTGAATATGGCTTTTCACTTCATCGTCCTATTTAAGTAAAATATGACAGAACGCACATTGTAACCATTGTGTTACTGCCGGCGGAAAGCTCTCTCAGACATTCATTACCGTATACTTGTACTTCACTGTGTTGACTCTCGGGACTCAAAGACCAAAAAATAATTCAATAATATTGTGATAATATTTCTACTTCTATAAAATCTTTTTATAAACAATACATATTCACCTTCTCTTAAAATTGTGCTTATTGAGCAAACAACATTCTTCTGAAATAGAGAAATTTAAGGAAAATTTTATCACGGTGTGTAACATTACATACTACTTTAGAACAATCTTGAAGTCATCAATTTATCTGATATGTCCAAATCTCAAACTGTTTATTCTGTGTAAACACAACAGATGCATCAATTTAATGACAGGGTGTACTACAGTTATTTATATCAATGTCACACAGAAATTCACTCTTGTTTGAATGAAACAGGTTTTGACATTTGTTTTATGTATTTAATCATCAAATACTTTGTTTAGTCTGACCATGCTGAAAACATACTTTCACTGGAGTGAAATAAATAAGATTATTAAAATCAGGTGAAGTATCACGTTTTGTCACACCAACAGTCACTCTGCCTTATTGACACTCTAAAGAAAATATAAGACTTGCATTTTGTTTTGTCAAATGAAATGTTTATCGCACTTGTGGTTTACTAAAGTTGATATTTTGACTTGTGTCTGTACCACTCATGAAAATATTAACTTTGTCAGCTCACAACATGAGATAAATTCATTCTATCATCGTTATTTGGCAAGGAAAACAAATATCCTCTATGTATTTTTTTAATATATTTCTCGTCTTGATTGAATTATCAAAAGTATCAATATTATCACACCACTTGACTTGATTAAAATAAAATAAAGTTCTAAAGATTGTTAACAATAGCAAAATATTACACCATAACAATATAATTATTGCACACTGACTCAGGAAGTACAACTATCATCTGTTATATAAATTAACATGATTAATAATCAATAATACATCACATGGCAATTGCTTGAACAAAAGAAAATATATTGTTTTAAAAGTTTCAAAACATGTTTGTGTACATACGACCAGATGGATTTCACAATTAAACAAAGGGAATAATTGTGTTCTGATTGCAATACCCATGGGAATTACACAGCATTCATAAAAAATAATTCTGTTTATACTTTAAGTTTATAGTCATGTCAATATCAGTTTCTGAATTTGAAATATTTGAATACAGACTGTTAAAGAGTTATCTGTTTCTGTTCATTATAAAAAGATCACATTTACTGACCATTAATTAGTTGGGTTTTTGTTCATTTCATGACATGATTAATTTGGTACAGAAAAGTAAATATCATTTTGGTAGAAATATTGTTTACACAATTGCAGCTCAAACTATGCTTCACTTTTAATATTTACACACCCTTTATGTAATAATTCAGTTGAAATATTACGCCTCATGCTATCTAATCTGTCAACATTGACAATCAAAATAACAACTATTCACAGCAGCACTAGTAGATCTGGAGGTCTAATAGTTTATTGGAATGTGTTTGAGTCCATTACAATTTACATCAATTACACAACTGTTTGAAAGCTCGTGTGAAATCACTATTTCAGTTGTTTAAGATAAATATTGTATTTTTGTCATAAATGTTACAGAATCGTTTCTATTCTGTGAATGCTCTATACCGCATGATCTATTGGTACATGCCTCATTAAGCACGATTTAGTTTGCAAATGCTCAAATCCGTGTGGTCTATTTTGTAAATGGTTTACTTCGTATGGTCTATTTTTTAAATGATCCACTGCTTGTGGTCTATTTTGTCAGTGGTCTACTTTGTATGGTCTATTTTGTAACTGGTTTACTCCGCATGTTCTCTTCTGTAAGTGGTCTACTCCGCATGGCCTATTTTGTAAATGGTCTACTATGTATGGTCTATTTTGTAAATGGTCCTCTCCGTATGGTCTTTTTCTGTAAGTGGTCTACTCCGCATGCTCTATTTTGTAAGTGGTCCT